GAATCAAACCCAGGGCCCTTCAGTCCGCAGGCCGACGCTCTATCCGCTGAACCACACCGGCCAGGGCCCTGCAGTCCTTTGAGAAAAGATGGGGGTGCGGGGGATCGGGGAGGTGCCTGTCAGGAATCTCTTATTCTCCCATCAGCAGTTCCGTTGGCTCCAGGGCCCGGTTTGGGAAGGGCCTTGCCTGGGGTGGGTCAGATGCCCCTGGACACGGGAATTGGGGGCTTTCTTGCCTGGGACGGGAAGGCCTCGCGGGAGCCCAGTGGGGAAGGAGGGTGCGGCTCCACCGACAGCACCCACACCCCCATCTGGAGTCTGGGGTCTCTGCCCCTAACCGAGCCCCGCATCTCCCAGGCCAGACCCCCGCTGGACCCACACATCCGGGCTCCCGCCGGGTGGGGAAGGGGCGGACACCTGGCAGCTCACGGCTGGGGGTGTTTCTGAAACTTCCTCCCTCCAAGCTCCAAAGGAACCGGCTCCCCCACTTCCCGAGACTTTTAGGGGCTTGGGAGGGCGGATGGGCTTGTGCTCGGCTCTCCCTGCTGTGGTCTTAGGGTTCCGTGTTTTGGGGTTCGCTTTCCAACACCCTCGTGTTGTTGTGCTCTCCTCCTCCTCCTCCTCCTCCTCCTCCTCCCCCCCTTCCTCATCAGAAACACCCCGGCTCTCACCTTCCTGAGGCTCAGGGAGGGAGAAGCCAGAAGTGGGGTTCCATCCGCCATCTCCACCCGGAGCCCCCTGAGCCACCCCCTCTGCCTTGCAGTTCTCCAACCTCCGGGAAGAGAAGAAGCAGAAAGAGGTGATGGGGCTCATCGAGAAGGACAACCTCCTCCTGCGACAGGTGACCGCGGGGTGGGGAACCCCGCCCGGGGGAGCTGGGGCCGCTCCCGTTAGGCAGCACCCCACTAGACACACTCAGGGCGCAGGGGCACGCAGAGGCCCCGCCCCATCCCTGGGTCCCGATTTGTCTTGGGGGAGGCGGGGTGGGGACCTGTGGGCCTACTCCTCCGCCCCCTGCCCCGCCCCCAGCAAGTGTGGGAGCTGGAGCACGAGCTCGCCACGCGGGAACACGCCATCACGGAGGCGGAGGCCAAGGCTTGGGGACCCCAGGGGTTTGTGATGTCCACAGTGAGAGGGTGGAGTTCGCAGGAGGGTCAGGGGTCAGGGAGTCTCCCCAGGTCAGAAGGGAGCTCCTCTGGGGAAGGAGGTGGCTTGGGGTCCTTCTCAGTTTTATGATTTTTTATTTATTTATAAATATACTAGAGGCCTGGTGCACGAAATTTGTGCACTGGGGGGGGGTCCCTCAGCTCGGCCTGAGCCCTCTCGCAGTCGGGGAGCCCTCGGGGGATGTCTGACTGATGGCTTAGGCCCGCTCCCCGCTATCAGTCAGACATCCTTAGCGCTGCTGGGGCTTCTGGCTGAGCAGAGCTCCCCCTGTGGGAGCACACTGACCACCAGGGGGCAGCTCCTGCATTGAGCGCCTGCCCCCTGGTGGTCAGTGCACATCATAGCGACCGGTAGTTCTGCCATTCGGTCGATTTGCATATTAGCATTTTATTATTTATAAATAAATAGTTTTATTGATTTCAGAGAGGAAGGGAGAGGGAGAAAGAGCAGAAACATCAACAATGAGAGAGAATCATTGATCGGCTGCCTCCTGCACGCCCCACACTGGGGATCGAGCCTGCAACCGGGCATGTGCTCTGACCGGGAATCGAACCATGACCTCCTGGCTCATAGGTGGACACTCCACCACTGAGCCACGCCAGCCGGGCTGATTATATTTTTTTAATCATGTGCAGGTTTTACTTTTTTAATTAAAAAAGTTGGTGAGGCCCTGGCCAGTTTGGCTCAGTCGGCCTTCGAACTGAAAGGTCCTAGGTTCGATCCTGGTCAGGTCACATGCCCAGGTTGCAGGCTCGATCCCCAGTGGGGGGCATGCAGGAGGCAGCGATCCATGATTCTCTCTCATCATTGATGTTTCTCTCTCTCTCCCTTCCTCTCTGAAGTCAATAAAATAGCCTGGATGAGGGGATGATGGCTGTTTGCAGCTGGTCACACCCCCTTCAGGGTGGGGGTCCCCACTGGGGTGCCTGGCCAGCCTGGATGAGGGGATGATGGCTGTTTGCAGCTGGTCACACCCCCTTCAGGGTGGGGGTCCCCACTGGGGTGCCTGGCCAGCCTGGATGAGGGGATGATGGCTGTTTGCAGCTGGTCACACCCCCTTCAGGGTGGGGGTCCCCACTGGGGTGCCTGGCCAGCCTGGATGAGGGGATGATGGCTGTTTGCAGCTGGTCACACCCCCTTCAGGGTGGGGGTCCCCACTGGGGTGCCTGGCCAGCCTGGATGAGGGGATGATGGCTGTTTGCAGCTGGTCACACCCCCTTCAGGGTGGGGGTCCCCACTGGGGTGCCTGGCCAGCCTGGATGAGGGGATGATGGCTGTTTGCAGCTGGTCACACCCCCTTCAGGGTGGGGGTCCCCACTGGGGTGCCTGGCCAGCCTGGATGAGGGGATGATGGCTGTTTGCAGCTGGTCACACCCCCTTCAGGGTGGGGGTCCCCACTGGGGTGCCTGGCCAGCCTGGATGAGGGGATGATGGCTGTTTGCAGCTGGTCACACCCCCTTCAGGGTGGGGGTCCCCACTGGGGTGCCTGGCCAGCCTGGATGAGGGGATGATGGCTGTTTGCAGCTGGTCACACCCCCTTCAGGGTGGGGGTCCCCACTGGGGTGCCTGGCCAGCCTGGATGAGGGGATGATGGCTGTTTGCAGCTGGTCACACACCCTTCAGGGTGGGGGTCCCCACTGGGGTGCCTGGCCAGTCTGGGTGGGGGGCTGAGGGCTGCTTTCAGGCTGGCGGTTGTTGACTGAAGCTCCCAACCGCTCCTTTTTTTTCTCTTTTTTTATTTTATTCTGGGCCAGCTTTAGCTCTGGCTCTAGCTCTGAGGCTTCGTATCTGGTTTGTTTGCCGTTCTATAATCGAAACAATGTATAACTTCAGCTCTGAGATCCCTGCAGGCTGAAAGCTGGTTTCTGGGGTTTTGTTTAGCTACTACATTTGCAACATAGTACATAGTTTCTTAGAGTTGCAACTCAGAGGCTGGCAAGTCAGGCGGGGAACGTTGGAGTCTGCAGTCACTGAAGCAAGCAAGCCTCATGTTCGCTTCAGTGCATGGCTGCCGGCCGCCATCTTGGCTGACAGTTAATTTGCATAAGGACATGCTGATTAGCCAATGGGAAGGGTAGCGGTCGTACGCTAATTACCATGTTTCTCTTTTATTAGTGTAGATATATAGTTTTATTGATTTCAGAGAGGAAGGGAGAGGGAGAGAGAGACAGAAACATCAACAATGAGAGAGAATTATTGATCGGCTGCCTCCTGCAATCCCCCCACTGAGGATCGAGCCTGCAACTGGGCATGTGCTCTGACCGGGAATCGAACCATGACCTCCTGGCTCATAGGTGGACACTCCATCACTGAGCCACGCCGGCAGGGCTGATTATATTTTTTTAATCATGTGCAGGTTTTACTTTTTTAATTAAAAAAGTTGGTGAGGCCCTGGCCGGTTTGGCTCAGTCGGCCTGCGAACTGAAAGGTCCTAGGTTCGATCCTGGTCAGGTCACATGCCCAGGTTGCAGGCTCGATCCCCAGTGGGGGGCATGCAGGAGGCAGCGATCCATGATTCTCTCTCATCATTGATGTTTCTCTCTCTCTCCCTTCCTCTCTGAAGTCAATAAAATATTTTTTTAAAAAAAGGGGTCCCTTTAAAAACAAAAGTTGGCGAGGCCCTGGCTGGTTGCTCAGTGGTTAGAGCGTCAGCCTGCACACACGAAGGGTTGGGAGTTGGATTCCCAGTCAAGGGCAGGTACCTGGGTTTCAGGTTCAGTCCTCAGCCCTGCCTGGTCTGGGCACGTGCAGGAGACACCAGATGGTATCTCTCTCACATCAATGTCTCTCTCTCTCACCCCACTTCCACTCTCTCTAAAAATCAACGGGAAAAAATATCCTCAGGTGAGGATTAACAAACAAACAAACAAACAAAAAGTTGGTGAGGTAGAGGGTCCTTGCGTGAGGCCACCCCAGGCCTGTCTAGCTCGCAGGTAGACGCTGTCCCTCCAGCCTCAGTTTCCGGTTCCTAAGCTGGGAAGGAGGGGGTCCCGCCTCTGTCCCCCTGACCGGGCGGTGGGTGGGCTCCTCCACCCGCCTAAGGCCAGCGGCTACTGTCCCTTCGCTCGCTCGCAGCTCGAAAGGCTGAGAAACAAGATCATCCAGGCGGCCTTCAGCACCCCCGGGATCAGATCCTTTGGCAGCGAGATCTCTGACAACGACATTCTGGAGGCCTTGCAGGTATGACAGGTTGCAGGCTCGATCCCCAGTGGGGGGCATGCAGGAGGCAGCGGTCCATGATTCTCTCTCATCATTGATGTTTCTCTCTCTCTCCCTTCCTCTCTGAAGTCAATAAAATATTTTTTTAAAAAAAGGGGTCCCTTTAAAAACAAAAGTTGGCGAGGCCCTGGCTGGTTGCTCAGTGGTTAGAGCGTCAGCCTGCACACACGAAGGGTTGGGAGTTTGATTCCCAGTCAAGGGCACCTACCTGGGTTTCAGGTTCAGTCCTCAGCCCTGCCTGGTCTGGGCACGTGCAGGAGGCACCAGTCAGTATCTCTCTCACATCAATGTCTCTCTCCCCCCACTTCCACTCTCTCTAAAAATCAACAGGAAAAAATATCCTCAGGTGAGGATTAACAAACAAACAAACAAACAAACAACAAGCTGGTGAGGTAGAGGGTCCTTGCGTGAGGCCACCCCAGGCCTGTCTAGCTTGCAGGTAGATGCTGTCCCTCCAGCCTCAGTTTCCGGTTCCTAAGCTGGGAAGGAGGGGGTCCCGCCTCTGTCCCCCTGACCGGGCGGTGGTTGGGCTCCTCCACCCGCCTAAGGCCAGCGGCTACTGTCCCTTCGCTCGCTCGCAGCTCGAAAGACTGCGAAACAAGATCATCCAGGCGGCCTTCAGCACCCCCGGGATCAGATCCTTTGGCAGCGAGATCTCTGACAACGACATTCTGGAGGCCTTGCAGGTATGACACAGGAGCCGCCAGGCCATGCCCAGCTCAGCCTCCTCCGGATGCTTCTTAGCACCTCAGTGGGGTCTCCATCTGCTGAGCCAAGGCCCTGACCTGGACCCCCTTCCATGGCTTGGGCCCAGGCTACCCCTCATCTATCCCCATGCCCCCCAGGACTCAGAGGCGGGCTGGGCCTCAGGGAGTCACCCCCACCTGCCTGGATGGAGGAGCTGAGGGCTGGTCACCTGGCCCCGGGAGGGGGCGCACCTGCCTCAGGTGCAGGGCCAGATGGGGCGAAGAGCCCCTGGCTGACTCAGCTCTGGGGAACTGGGCACCTGTCCCTAGGTGGCTGCCGCCCCAGGCTCTGCGGGCTGAGCAGGTGCCCTCGGCCTTCTAGCACCCACAGTTCCCGGAGACCTGGCTCCTCCCCTCCGAATGGGGGGCGGGGGTGAGGGGACGCTGGTCAATGGTGCTCCTGTCAGGTGGCAACAGTCCTCAGGGGAGAGGGAGACCCTGTGTGTGGCCTGGGCAGAGGTCTCTGGGGCCTGGGTGCTGTTTGGACTAAGGGAAGGGGAGCGGGGAGGGGAGAGGACGAATAGAGGAGGGAGGGAGGGAGGAAAAATGGAAGAGAATGAGAGGGGGGTTGGAAAGGGGATGGATGGGAGGGAGAGAAAGGGGGAGGGAGGAGAAGAAAGGGTGAGGGAGAGGGTGGGAGGGGAAAGGGGGGTTGATGGGAAGGGTCATCAGCACCACCCAGGAGCCGGGGAGCCTTTCCTTGGTCCCTGGGCCAGAGGAGGCCTTGGCAGGGGTGGGGCCACCTCCGTGGGGGATGGACCCGAAGCCCCAGGGCGGTCCCTGCGTCACCAGCTCCCGGGCCGCTGCGGAGCCCGCGGTGGCTTCTCCTCCGGGTCAGCCAGGAGGAGGCTTTCCACCCAAATAGACTGATGCTGCCACCAGAGCTGCCCCCTCGGAGGGCGGCGGGGAGCAGCCTGGGCAGCGGTGCCGTCCTTTCCAGCGGATCATCTCCGAGAGGATGGACTACTACAACCAACTGAAGCACAAGGGCGTCAAGGTGCCGCCGCTGCTGATGGCGGAGGTGTTCTCGTCGCCCAGCAAGTCCAAGAAGGTGGCCTCCAAGTAGCCGGGGCCCCGCCCGGAGCCGCCTGGGGCCCTGCTTCGGCTCTGATTCAGAATTAAACTCTGTTGTTGGCCACGGGCTCCCCTTCCTCTCCGGGGACTCACACGGGGCTTAGGCT